TTACCGCCTCAGAATCCCCCTGGGGTGGTTCCACACAGTTACAGGGTCTCTGTAAGAAGCAACTCCATGGTAACGGGTGTGGGTGCTTTGCTTTTTGTTTGTTGGGCTGGTGGGAGGAAGGATTGGTAAAAAGCCCCTATCCGTTTCTGGTCCGTCGGCAGCCCCTACGAGGCTGAGTCCCGACCTCAGACAGAAAGTCTAGTCCCCACTGTTTCCTCTCTTCCCTATTCTCTCAGACTCCTGCACACTCTTTCAAAGGGGCCTCAACCAGCATATGCCTAGGAGAACAAAGAAAGAAGGAAGTTGTTTGAAGTTCCGTTTTGTTTGGTGGGTGGGGAATGAAATGAGAGAGCAAGCGCTGAGAAGCTGGCTGTTTCCTTTTGTTACATCTTTCTCCTGGAAGTTGGGTAGAGAGAGGAACAGCTAGAAGACTGCATGGAAGGGATGCACTGAGACACTCAACACTTAGCAGAGGGCTTGGTTTCCTGCATTCAGCAGGGCAGCTCCCTTTCCTGCCCCAGGAGTCAGGCTCTCATCACCTCACTTCGGGCACTCCACCTTAGTGTGTCTCTCCAGGCTGTTCCAATTCAAAAAGTTAACTGGTTTTATACACCACATTGCAATTTATAAAGCACTTCTGTGTAAAGTCTCTCTTTTAAACCTCCCAACAAACCTACAGCACATGTGTCATCCCCACTGTATAGCCACAGAAACCATGGCTTAGAGAGATGACGCAACAACTCTATGCTTAATGTGGCGAGGAAGCAGCAGCACCTTGGCACCAGGTTGGGCACTCTAGTCACAACATCAGAGCCACAGGTTCCCTCCATCCCTAATGTAGAAATCTGGCCCTTTAAGCCTGAGGGAGGAGTTGCCCCTCCTAAAACTCTCACTGTCATTTGAGTCTATGCCAACTCATAGGGACACTCCAGGGCAGGGTAGAATTGTCCCATGAGTTTCCAAGACTGTGACTGTGTAATTTATATATCCTGACCCTTCAAGCCTGGGTGAGATGTCCCTCCTATGTGCCCCTTGGCTCCCTCTATGCCATTTACATGGTCATTCCCTGAAGGAAGAAACTCCACGGCTAACGTCTTTCTCTTTTGTATTCCTGAGTACCTGTCCCAGGCTCACAGCCACCCTGCAGGGAAGAGCAGAACCGCCCCTCTGGGTTTCCGAGACTTTACATCCTTAAATCTGACTAGACCGCCTCATCTTTCTCCTGAGGATCTGGTGGGTTTTAACTGCTGACCTGGTGATTAGCAGCTCAATGTGTAACTCATTCCCTTGTCGTGAGTCAGAACTGATTCAATGGCACTGAATGTGATTTGGCACAAGGTCATCAGTGAGTATCCAATAAACATTTAAAGTGAATGTGTAACTGATGTTTGAATTATCAATAAGAGATGACTCTGAGTAGCCAGAGCTATACAGCCTAACTCCCAGTACACTTTGTCTTCCATTTGACCCACTAACACCTGACGGTCTAACTCCGATCCTTAGTGCCAATAGCTGTAACTGTGTGCTATAAGTCAGTTTCAACTCACGGTGACTCTGAACAAGAGGATGAAACCCTACCCGGTCCTGTGCCATCCTCAGAATCATTGTTACATGTGAGAGACCATGGTTGCAGCTACTGTGTCAATTCAACTCATCAAGGGTTTTCCTCTTTTTCGCTGCCTTTCAACTTTGCCAAGCATGATGCCTAACAGGTTCTAAGACTTAACCTGGGAAACTCTGACATGAGAAACACCCATGGGTGTCAAAGCAACTTCAAAGTCACCATCAAATATCCACAAGCACCCAGATATTGGTCGCCAACCAATTGTCAGGAAGGGCCATAAAAATGGGACCTAACATGCATCCAGTAAGGTCATACAACCCCCGGGACTCAATGTGCGAGGCTGGGCCCATAATAGTGTGGAGGGCAAAGCCACAGCCACTTCCTCTAGCCCCTCAATATAGGTGGAAAGAAGTGGAATGGGGCCAGGGGCCAGAGTCAACAGCCTTGGGCAGAGGAAGCCAGCTAAAACTAACCCAGTACCGACCATTTCTCCATCCACACAGAGCCTGAGGTGCCCCACGAGCAGCCTGGGAGGAAGGAGCCCCAAACAGTGCCTCTGTGAGACTGCACATGATCTGACAAGGCTCTGTGCATACAAATGATGGGCAAGCAAGGCATTGGCCTCATCTGCTGGGCTGGGCTGAATAAGGAATGGATGGAATCTGTAGCCCCTGACTGTAGTCACTACCTGCCATTCACACACACACACTCAGAGAGAGAGAGAGAGAAAGAGAGAAGTCGAGAGAGAGAGAGAGAGAGAGAGAGAGAGAGAGAGAAAGAGAAGTCTCCAGTGAGTGAGATTTTGGCACGGCACAGATGAAAAGTAATTCATGAAGACTTCCAGGAGACGTGGAAATGAGCCTGGGCATAGAAGGCCGTCTTCTCCGGCACACACTGCCCCGTGTCTAATTCGTGGACAAGACTCCTAGTGTTGCTCTCAAGACAGGACCTGAGTTGAAGGAACAGAGCTGGGATGGAGAAATCAAAGCATAGGCCACGGAAAGGAAACTGCAGAATTGGAAGTTGAGGGGGTAATCTGATGGAGCAGGAAACAGATAAAGTTCACAGAAACGGAGGAAATGAGCAGAGACCCAGGGAATCAGAAAGTAACGGCGGCGGCAGCAGCGTGAATGAGAGAAGCTCCTGGCTGTGGGCACCTCGGAAGCAGTGCCGGATGTCCCAGCCTCAGGCCCCAGCACTCTGTGGGTATGGAGTATGCACAGTGGGTAATAGGGTATAGGTTGATTCCTGAAAGTGACACTAACTTGAGAAGCATTTGAAAATCCAAGAATATTCCGTTTCTCCAAAGTCAACAGGAGACAGTTTCAAAAGGCAAGTCAGGAAGAACAAACAACTTGGAGGGAGGGAAGAAAAACAGGCCTTAAATAACAAATGCTAAACAGCAGGCCCTCTGCTGCGGAGGCAGGTGCCTAAAGTCCCAAGTAGGCAATTAACAAGGAAACAAAAACACTGCAATTACAGAAAGGAAAATAGATTGTGCCCAGTGACTCTCATAGCCAGGGCAGAGGCCAGCTAGGTACACCAGCACAGCCTAGCTTGGGGTACTGGTCCCCCGCCCCCCAATTACCAGTGAGTTCGAAAACCAAGACCGGGCGAGACCCTGTGGTTGAAGTAAAAAACTCAAAAAACTCATTGTCATCGAGTCAGTTCCTACTCATAGTGAGCCTATAGGGTGGGGTAGAACTGCCCCTGTGGGTTTCCAAGACTAATTCTTTAAAGGAGTTGAAAGTCTCATCTTTCTCTCGCAGAGTGGCTGGTGGTATCGAACTGCTAACAGTGAGGTTAGCAGGCCAACATGTAACCACTCTAGCCACACACAAATTGAGAATATCTCCACAAGGACAAGAGAAAGTTGCCCAACGCAGGGAGACACAAGGCACAGTGAAGTGGGCCCAGGTGACCTGCATTACCAGTGCCCCCCTAGCCCCCCCACAGCTCTTCCAGGAAGCCTGAGCCCTCCTGGACAAAGGGATGGAGTTCTGGGTTCTAGCTCTGCCTCAACACTGTCTCTAGGCTTCTCCTTCAGTAAAGTCACTACCTGCCATTCCCAATTCCGCACACTAAGTTCTAATGTTTTTTGATACCTTTCGAGAGATCTCTCGTTATTCTCCTCTGCCAAAAGTCGGAGCTTTCTGTTTCGGTAGCCCTTCTTATAAAGTCACATGACCACAGGGCCTCCATCCCCTGTTGGCTACGCCATGGAATTCTCTCTTCAGGCGTCTATGCAGCCAAAGCTCCCAAAGTCCCCAAATGCCCAGGGGAAACAAAGCGAGGTGCAAATCTTGGAGAGGGGTTAGGATGGCTAAAGCTCCACTCCCACCCCCACGTCCCTACAAACCGCCCTTCTCCCGCCCAAATCATCGCAACCTAATCAGCGCCTCCGCGCTCTTTTTCCCAGACGTGAACTAATGACCCAGAATGGAAGCCGGGGCAGGCCTCCTCTGGCCCTGGGGGTCCCAGCCCTGGGATCCCATCGTGGCTGCGCGCCCGGTCTGGTACCAAAGGTCTGCCCGGCCCCGCAGCCTCCGCTCCCCTCCCCCGCTCGGCCGTCCACGGTCAGGCACTAACCAAGCAGGAAATTCCACCTGGGTGGCCGGGGCCCAACCGAGCAAGTGGCGGCAGAGGAGGAGGTCCCCGTGCGGAGGAAAAGGCGCCGAGGGCGCCCGCGCCCTCCGGGTCCGCGTCCCTGGCCCGACGCTGCGCTCGCGCCCCACGCCCCAGGCTGCCCGCTCCCCCGGCCCGGAGGGACGCGTCCGGCCCGGCCC